CGGGGCATCCTTTTAGAGCTCGCACGCGGCACAACAACAAAAAAAAATCGACAAAATCCATCGACGGGCGTCCGGGTCAACAAAACTGCATTTGACCGCCACCCCTCACCGCAGGCCTACGGCACCGCCCGACGTCAACAAAAAAAAAAAGGAGTGTATAGCACCCCTACGAAATACACGGCACTCCACAGCAACAGCTACATAGGAAGCTAAATCGCGTACACGAAACGACGGTGGAAGGCAATGGTGGCCACATCGGGTACGCCGTAGGAATAGCCAAAAACAACAAGTAGCCCAGCAAAACCCATACACTAAAAAAAAAACAGGGAGGCGCCCGTTTACGTTCTGGGAGAGTATGTAGCGCGGCGCAACGGAGACAAGCAAGCAAGCAAGCAAGCAAGCAAGCAGCACGGGTGGTGCATTCACACATACAGCGGCATCACGGCTCTATCTCTCTCTGCCTGTGTCTTTCTTGGTAACCAAGGCCATCACGTGTGCACTTGGGGCCCGCCCTACAGTACACACCCAATTGTGTTGGTCTGTCTCATGCTTCCACCATCTCTCGCTCTCATGGGCTTGGCTTGGGTGGTTGTCACAGTTTCGTGGCGATACCATCGGCAAGTCAGCAAGACGACCAACCGACCAAGGCAAACGAGGGGTCTGCAGCATTCCCCGCTGCAGTCTGCTGTGCCCCCCTCCCTCCCCCCCTAAGACACGTCGCAGGCAACGTCAAGCGACAAAAACTGTCACCGAGCGTGCGGCCGACCAGTGTGGAAAACACATACTTCGCCTGAAAAAAAAACGATTGTGTTTCTTGGTTCGGTAGGCAAACGCTAAAGGATCGAAATAAAAAACGCTTGAGTTCCTCCTTGTATACATGTCCGCCACCATGCATGCATGTTGCTGCTGCTGCTCCTACCGCTGCTGCTGCTGCTGCTGCTGCTGCTTGCTACTGTATTCCCATCAGCTTCCGCTGGTAGGTGTCGTACAGCCTCGTCCGCCAGTTGTCCGCGCTCTTCTCGATGAGGTCGTGTACGAAGGTGACGCACTTCTCCGCGCTCTTCTCCGGCTGGAAGCGTGCTCTCAGCTGTTGTTGGTGGTGGTGGTACACGTATTGCACGCGGTTAATGCCGAACACACACAAGACACATCGAAAAGAGCAGTCAGTCACAACACACAGCACAATCGACCGGGAGTCTACGTTCCTTTTCGCCATCGACTATTCCAACAAAGGATGCGTGAGTCGCGATTCTATGCTCTTTTCCGCCATCGACTAATCCAACAAAGATAATATTTTTTGAAGTGAAAATCGTTACTTATCGACAGATTCACATCATGCACAAACGATGGAGCTACATCGGGCAGACTAAACGTTTATTTGGGGGCATACACGAAAATCCATAACTTGTCTATTTCGCTCCCCCTCCGCTCACTCACGTGCTTGACAACGGCTTCCGGGCGCCCCCCAAAGCAAGACAGCTCCGGCCGGAAGGCGACCATCATCTCGACCTTTGATCGTGATGGGTGGGGCCGCGAGAAAACAACGGACACGTAGCAAGCAAAGGTCAGAACAGGCAAAAAAAACAACAACGAACAGAGCAGGGCTTACGAAAGTTGCCCGATATGTACCAAGGCTTAGATGACGCGTGAGCGAGCGACATCAGCAACATGGGGGCAAGGAAAGGGGGGGGGGGGGGGGGGGGGTTGGGGGGGAAAAAAAAGGGAAAAAAAAAATTTTCCGCTTGGGACCCTCCCCCGGGGGGGGGGGGGGAAAA